ATTGTTGCGTTAGTGTCTCTTGCATTTTGGTTTTTTCTTTCTGTCTGATTGTTGCGTTAGTGTCTCGTGCATTTTACCTTTCCTTTTTGTCTGATTGTTAAATTAGTGTCCGAAGCATTTTAGTTTTCCTTGGTGCCTGATTGTTGCGTTAGTGTCTCTTCCACTTTGGTTTTCCTTTTTGTCTGATTGTTGCGTTAGTATCCCGTGAATTTTAGTTTCCCTTTCTGTCTGATTGTTGCGATAGTGTCTCTCGCATTTTGGTTTTCCTTTTTGTCTGATTGTTGCGTTAGTGTCTCGTGCATTTTAGTTTTCCTTTCTATCTGATTGTTGGGTTGGTGTCTCGTACATTTTAGTTTTCCTTTTTTGTCTGATTGTTGCGTTAGCGTCTCGTGCATTTTAGTTTTCCTTTTTGTCTGATTGTTGCGTTAGTGTCTCGTGCATTTTAGTTTTCCTTTTTGTCTGATTGTTGTGTTAGTGTCTCGTGCATTTTAGTTTTCCTTTTTGTCTGATTGTTGCGTTAGTGTCTTGTTCATTTTAGCTTTCCTTTCTGTCTGATTGTTGCGTTAGTGTCTCGTGCATTTTAATTTTCCTTTTTTTCTGATTGTCTCGTTATTATCTCGCGCATTTTAGTTCCCATTGTTGCCTGATTGTAACGTTTGTTCCTCGTGCATTTTAGTTTACTTTTGTGCCTGACTGTTGCGTCTTTATCTCGCGCAGTTTAGTTTAACTTGTTGCCTGATTGTTGCGTTAGTTGGTGTTGGATCAAGTTTGGAAATGGTCAAATTATTGCAACATTTTTGGATGTTGCAAGATGTTGTGTGCGTTTGGCCAGCTCCTTCATAACATTTAACACATGGTCATTATGGAATTCCAAATATTAAAACATATGTTTATGTAGATGCCCATTATGATCTAGGAGTTAGTTTGAGTCGTTTCTAATGAACAACGGCTTCCTTTGGGAAATAGGAGCGGTTCGTCGTCTGTCTAAAGGCAGTGGCAATTTCCTCTCCCCACCCGAGAGAAATTTTAAGCGTCACCAGAGTAACCAGCGCTCCGGCAAGGCAGGTGCGATTCCTTTAAAATATTCATGCTGCCGATGAAAATGCGGCATGATATTTTTATTAGAGTCTTTTAGTTTATTCCGTGCGCTTAGTAGTATTTATCAAAACACGCTCTTTTAATCAAATATTCTTCCTAACAAGTATTGCCACTTTTAGCTCAACTCTAGCTTGATCTTAATTTAGGCGTGGTATTGAGCTTTTTTGGGTCTTTTAAATAGTTCGGCCAAAACATAATTATCTGTTATTACATGGGAACTGTGATCCTGAGTGCTTTTCAGCTGTCAAAACCACGGGTCAAAACGTGTGGGAATATTTGTGTAAATGTTTATCAAAGGTTGTCGTAAGTGTGAACGGAAAATTATAGATTCCACGAGCTGAGCAGTTCTGTTTTATCTAGCTTAATGCTTAATGGATTTTTTTTAATCCTTGCGAAAATATTTCATGGTGGAACAACCTTATGTATATTCTGTATAATTGTTATAACTAAACGTCGAAATAAAAGAAAAAAGTAATGACTAATTTACAGTAGAAAAGAGTACCGGTAAGTGAAAATCAGTCAAAAATGAGTTGAAGAATAAATTAATAAAGAGCTTGTTTTTCGATTCTGTTAGACGAAAACTACCAAGTAGAATGAAATTATGATCGTTGCAAACTATTAAAAAATGTAGTGAGTCTGAGAAGATCCTAGAATATTCTCGATTAAAGCTTTTTCAATATTCATCTCTCTGATCACTTTAACATATTTTTTATTGCAATAGATGAATGCGCCATTTGAGTCGACAAAGTTCGGTGTGGCGTTGCTTTCTAGAAACCGCAAGGAGCGTCTAATGAGTCACACCAGAGCTAAAAGAAACTTTAAGGAACACCAATATATTGTTTCATCCATATCAACACCATCTTTCTTAATGATAGTAAAAGTTATGATTTCATGGCGAAATTAATTTTTGACAAACATTTGCCCAGCAGGAAGAAGGAACCATTTTAATTAAACCTCATAAACATTATTTCCATAACCAATACTTGACATACCTAACGCCTCGAAAGGTTACGATGTCCTCAGCTCACCAATCACATTGTTTTCTAATAATGTACCCAAACGATTCTATTGTCAGTCTGCAGAAAACACTCCCTCACTGCGAAATATCAAGAATTATTTATAAGAGTTATTTTCTTAAGTTAGACTATCTTCACCAAAAACTCAAATTTTGTTTTCAAGTCCTGGTTGCCTGATTTTAGCGTGCAGAGTGTGGAAGTCAATGGCAGACGAAAGTGCAACAACTGATTCTGAAACAAGTAAGTATTGTGTTTGCATCAAAATTTTGATTTTCTAGCGATTCGGTCTTCTTTGCTTCTTATTCCTCCTTTGTATTACTTGGGGATTTATTGATCTCCAAGACTTATTTGGACTCTGTAGGTAACATCTCAATTTTCTTTATCTGTAAATTTCGTGTGGGTTTCGTTAGGTTAACCAGCAATTGAGTTCGAAGAAGTTTTCACTGATGTTACGTAAGAATATCAAAATGCCTAGAATCAACAAAGCTCAAACTTGAAAATCGTGAGGATCACACGACACTCCAGCACAATTTTTCTGCAATATACAAAATAAAAATATAACTTTATTTAAAAGGTAAAAAAATGACAAGCAACTTATTACCATTTCTAGCCATGGCATTTTTATTTAATGGAATCAATCAAAGACAGTTGAAAATTCTGTTAATGATGGGAAACCTTAAAAAAATTAAATTTATCGTCTTAGCAATAAAAGATGATCACTTTTGCTTGGCAATTTTTCATCTGGCGTCACATGTACCTTTTCAGCTAATAAATGGTGTTAATTCAACAGAAAAACCTCGTTCTCATCAACAGGTCCTCAATTGAGCCTCACGATTAAAGTGATTTTCATTTTGGCCTCGTCTGTTACCATCCTGGTGTCTGTGATTGGAAACTCATTAGTGATCTACATCGTATTCAAGAACCAAACCAAGAGAACATCAACCAACTGTCTAATAGTGAGCTTAGCTATAAGTGATGTTTTAATAACTATGATTCAGGCTCCCTTATTAATTTTATACCTTTGCATTGGAGATGAAGCGAATGGCTGTTACCTGGGAAATGTTTCTGACATTTCTCGTAGAATGTTGGCGTTCGGAGTTTCTATATTACTTTATTCCTCAATTTTCAACATGGTTACCATCGCCATCGATCGATTTCTAGCCGTCATCCGACCACTGACATACAAAGTCTCATCAAAATGGCTGGTGAAAGTAGGAATTCCTCTCGTATGGTTGAGTTCATGTTTGCTATCACTAGAGGGTGTGTTGACACTACAAGATGGGAACGCTGAATCATCAAGTGGAAGAAGCCGTTTTGCACTGTTTTCGTCCTTAGTATTTTTGGTCATCTCGTTGATCGCGTTGATTGTCCTCTATTCTGTAATTTGTTATCGTCTTTGGAGAAGAAGCATTCCTGGCGAAGTTTCCAGTAATCAGCAAGCACTTGCTACTCGTACAGCACGGAAGGTCACCATATTAATGATTTTCATTGTAGCCGTGTTTTTTCTTTCATGGGCACCAATTTTTATGTCTATGCTCGCAGAAGTAATTGAGATTAATTTCGCTTATGAGTCAATCATGAGAGAATATCCATTTTTAACTGCTATAAGTTTCTGGTTAGTCGTAAACAACAGTGCTTGTAACTCGTGTTTGTATTTCCTATTTATCGAAAGCTTCCGTCAAGGTCTAAAATTATTATGTTCAAATTGTCGACCTCCTCGGTTAAGACTACGTAGGTTTCGATGGAAGTACGAAACAGGAGAACGAATTAGAAACAGGCAAGCTGTGAACGTTCTGAATCCGGAGGAAAGGGCTGTTGAATTGAGGACATTCTGTAATACCCACATTACACAAGTTACACCTCTTCAATAGTAGAACATAAAGTTGAAATTGTGCATCAATTTCTTATGTGCGCAGTCCGCTCCATTTTACTTCATCTAACATGAAAAACATTTATCGTCCCTCGTAAAATCATGTCAACCGTCTATATCTGGTTGAGCATTTTGATTTTGTCTGTCTAAATAAAATGACGAACTAGTCCACAAAGGCATATGTGTTAGACTGTAACAAGTAAGATCAAAAGATTGTTCTTTTTATAATAAGTGACTGAATTCAGTTCGTGACAAGACTTGAGAGAGTCATCGAGCAGAAAAATTCAGGGTGAAAATGTAGCAGTAAATACTGAGAATGCTATTTAAAATTCAGGGATTGCTTATCATGACGAATGAAACAAGAACCTCAGTAAAAAGGAATTGTAATCATTTACATTTTACAACGATGAAAATAGGGTAAGTAGCACATAGAGGTTTAATAAATGAGAGCTATTGTGTCTGTGTGTGTGTGTCAAGAAGACCTGATCCGGCAATAAAGAGCTTCGTAAGTTTGTAATATAATGCAGTGTATTTTAGAGTATGTAATGTATTCCTAAAACCAAGAACGTTGGTGGAAATTGCTGTGACTTTAAGCCATCTGATTTTGCCGCGAACAAATCAATTTTGTTCCAATCCTGGTTCTCTCGAGGTTAGGCGCTCGAGAAAGTTGTTTTTATCGTACTTCAGGGCTTGCTGTACAAAACACAGATTGAACAACTACAACAACGGAGACAATGAAGCTCATATAACACATTCATTGTTAAGGACGCGAAATCATTTCCTCAAGATTTCTGCTCAGGCACTCTCAGCGTTGGAGGCTTGCTACAAGTTTTGAAAAATACCATTTAGTTAATGATTATTTCGTTCCCTGATTGATTTCAGAGACTTATCCTAACTAAAAACTAAAAATGGATGATTAGATATTTTAATTTTTCTGTGAAATAATTTTTTCGGTTTGTTACTGTGAATTAAAAATAGCATATGCAGTTGAAAAGACCTCTGACAACTACATGTCTAAAATATGAGAAGTTTACGGAAGTTCAACTTTCGACCCATTAATGAACTGATTAATTGCTTTTCTGTACATTTTGCTCCTCGATATCTATTTTTAAGTCAAACAGCTCTTTAAGCTATGCAACCACCATGGAATCGGCCATGATGCTTCACTGAGTTTTCGAAAATCAGTCGAAAACTTTGGCAGGCACCCTTAAAAATTTAGACATTTCCCTCAGTCACCAGTTTAGAATACTGTTATGGGGTTTACGGGAGAACCTTGGTAGCTTTTTACAGATGGATCAGAATCAAAAATTTAAATCTAGCTATGAACTATTTGTTTTGAATTGAGTATCTACAAAGACTTTCATGCTCTGTAAATCCGGAATGAAATGAAATAGAAAAAGATCATGTTTTGCGAAAGCAATTCAGTGCTTTATATTAAATATTGAATAGCAAAAGATTCAAGATTGCGAGAAATAAAAAACGATAAAATCCATTTCTCTTTGTCCTCCAAGTCTTTATTTTCCTTGAAATGTAAATAACAATATAGGGTCAAAAGGAAACCACTGATCGGCAAATCAGAAGGACAAGTCATACACAAAACTGCCCCGCTGTGTTCATTTGAGTTCTCATCCTCCCAGTAAACTGAAGCAATATGCTCATACATAGGCTCTGGTCTCGTGTTATTTGCCCAGTTCTCGTTTGCTGTGTGTTGGTCTCTTTTGCAGAGGATAATTCATCAAGGCTCAACGATACAAATCTAGGGAAAAGTAAGTTATCGAAACGTTTACTTCCCTTGTTCTCTTGGGGTACACAGATATAGGAACAGAGAGATAGAACGAAAGCGAGGATGACTGCCTACCATCTGATTCCATAGAAACATGTAATATGGCTTCGTTTTTAAGATTGGACATTTTGGGAAAGAACGTTACCGTTCAGAATGATTATTTTTCATGAGTTTTCATAGGAAACAATGCCGGCCCTGCAACATGAAAATGATTTATTCATTTAAGCCGTAAAAGACATACGAAGCTCATAGTTTACATAACTTGAGCGTTAAGTTTCCCGAACATCTCATCAGCGTTTAACTAAACTTTATAGTAAAAATAATTCTGAAGACTACACCTAAGGAACACCCTTATTATCTCGAAAAGGGAAAGTGCTCAATTATTTTTCACGCCCTTTCGTGAAAGTGAGCAGTAATAAGTGATAAACTGTCAATGTTTTGTTTGCTCAATTTACATAACAGGAGGGGGAGAATGCAATTTCCTGTGAGTCACATTAATTACATTTTACCTCAGGGAAGTTAAAAAATTTATTTTTCCTGAAAAATTGGGGGTAAGTAGACGCCATAAGAAATTATTTTTGGAAAAACAAATTTTTTACACGAGGATTGGGTGTTAAATTTATAACGGTCCATGATCTCATGATAAGACCAGAGGAAATGGACTCTTTTGTCAGGTATATCGATGAGCCTCTCCCGTGGATGCTAAAAATGAGCTTACTTTTCTCTCGCCAACTAATTAAAAACTTCTTAGATTTCCCTTATCTCTCAACAGATCCACAAAGCACCATCAATTTCCGATTTAGTCTACCAATGACAATAATTTTCGCCACAGCCATATTATTTAGCTTCGTGATGTCTGTGATAGGCAATTCTCTAGTGATTTGCATCATAGCCAAACAACAGTATATGAAAACATCAACCAATTGTCTCATAATGAACTTGGCTGTTTGTGATATTTTGACCACTTTACTCCTGACACCAACTTTCACCAGAAGAATTTTTCTCGGCGGCAGATGGTTTGGCGGTGATATTGGAAGGGCCACTTGCAAAATAGTGGAATACGGGAACTCTTTTCCAATTTACTGCTCTCTTTTAAACCTAGTTGCAATCGCCATTGATCGATGTCTTGCCGTCACTCGACCACTATCTTACAAACTTTCATCAAAATGGCTGGTAAAGATTTCAATTCCTGTAATTTGGTTGATTTCACTTTCGTTACCAGTAGTGAGTCTGTCAGACACACAATTATTATACTATGACGGTAACGTGTGGCCGAGATGTGAAGAGAAAAGCGGTCGAGGCTCTCTCGACTTGTACTTGGCGAAAGCTACTTTAGTCGGCTCGTTTATCGCATTGATTACACTTTATTCAGTGATTTCTTATCGTCTTTGGAGAAGAAACATTCCTGGTGAGATGCCCAGCAATCAAAAGGAACTTGTCATTCGTACAGCACGAAAGGTCACCGTTTTAATGATATCAATTGTAGTTGTCTTTTTTGTTTCATGGGCACCAGCCTTCGCTTTTCTCATAATCGTCGAATTTGGAAACGGTGGTCCGACCTTTGGAGAAGTTTTAGTGCAACATCCCTTCTTATTTGCTATAAGTTACTGGCTTATTTGTAACAACAGCGCCTTTAACCCTTTGCTGTATTTCATATTTATTGAAAGTTTCCGTCAAGGCTTGAGATCGGCCTGTTCAAGATGTCGTGTTCCTCGATTCTCACCTCAGGAAAGGAGGGGCAAAACTGGACAAGAATTAACGAGGAATAGGCCAACTCTGGATATCATCAATAAGGAAGAAGGAAATATTGAATTGAAAGCATACTCTGTGTCAACAGTAATCTAGAATTGCATTGGTTTTGCTTTACTTTGCTCTGTGATTGGTCCAGAAACTTAACCAATCAGATCTGAAACAAAAACCAATCCTGACTAGGTCGCTTACGTTTTCCCGCGCCTCAGGTCGGTTTGACTCTGTGGTCTCATTGGCTCTTAAAGGTTTTACCGTTTCTTCTGATTGGTCGTTGTGATAACTTAGGTTTTGGTTTTTAAGATAATCAATAATAACTGTAAGAGGTTTTGAACGGAGTAGATATTTTCTTGTTTACTAATACTAATTACTAATAATAGTAATAATAACATTTACTTACTTATATAGCGAAGATATCAATTGGGGTATTTTCAACTGCACTTTACAAAAATAAAACCAGAAGTAACCAATACTGATAACTAATAAATACTGATATTATTGACCAGTTGACTGATATAAAAAAAATCATATACCGCATACAAAAGTAATCAAAATAATGTTGTAGGTTCTCAGTAGAAATGACAAATATATCAATCAACGAGGAATAAGACAATAAAATAAAATTTCAAGATAAACTATTTATGATAAATCAATTACCAGATTACGCACCCAAAGCCATTAAAAAAGATTTTTTATAATTTCTTAATATCTGTGCTTGTTGAGTTTCTAGTTGAAGGAGATAACACAATCCAAAGCTTAGGTGCAGCTGCTTTATAAGAACGTTCATGACTCAAATGACACTTTATAATATCCCATTACTGAGCGCAAGTTTCATCCACCCCTTCTTTTCGACCCAAAATTGAACTGATTTTTTTTGTATGGAGAAATATGCAACCACCATGGTACTGGCCATGATGCATCAGATTTTGAAAAATTATTTGGTCTAGGTCTTGAAAATGCTGCCCTCGGCCTACGGCCTCGAGGTCACAGTTTTTCACCATACGGACC